AAACACAGATAGACATTCCTCTGGTATTCTCTGCTTTCAGCCAAGAGCCATCTTACATCGCTACAATATCCCTAGTACCATGACCCCTTCTAAACACAGCCTGGACTTCTGGAAGTTCTCTGCTGATGTGCTGTTCCAGTCGTTTTTGGATAATCTTCAGTAAAATCTTGCTTGCATGTGAAATCAATGAGATTGTTCTATAGTTTCCGCACTCTGTTGGGTCACCCTTCTTTGGGATGGGAACAAATAGAGATCTCTTCCAGTCAGTTGGCCAGGTAGTTGTTCTCCAGATTTCTTGGCACAACTTGGTGAGCACATCCAGAGCAGCATCTGTTAGCTGAAATATGTCAATTGGAATACCATCTATTCCAGGGGCCTTATTTTTTGCTATTTCTTTCAAAGCAGCTTGAACTTCTTCCTTCATCACCATAGGCTCTTGCTCATGTCTTGTTTCATGAAATTCCTCTGTGTCTGCCAATTCCTTTTGATACAGTGACTCAGTATGCCTTAAGTAAATTTACACCCATATTTATCAGATATTATTCTATGATTAGAATTTATATGAAATATTGCACAAAATGATGACCCTGGAGGACATTATGCTGAGTGAAATATCTCAGTCACAGAAGGACAAATATTGCATAGGGCCACTGTTGTAAAATGAGACTAACATCGGGGTTGAGGGAAGACAGAGAAGAAGAGGAGGAATGATGCATACTGCATTGAAACAGATTAGGGAGAGAACTAAAAGGAATATATGATTGGGCATTATTGTCATGACAGGAGTCCATAATGAGGCTGCACAGTGGAGTGGAGTGGACTTGGGGGAAGGGATTGCATAACAATAAAGAGTTTTACTTTTCAAGGAGAAGAGTGAATTAGGGGGACGGGGTGGGCAGGGTGAAAAGTGCAGCAATGAATGATAGGAAACCCTAAGTCTCTGTAAACTTTCATTAAAATTAATTTTAAAAAACTATAAAAAATAATTGATAATAGACCTTGCTGTAAAGTCTGTATGGTCAAGTACAGGTTGTGGTCCATAGTAGGGGTGGCGGTGTGGAGAGGGATGCCATGCTTTAATGCCATGGGGTAGCACCAACCTTAGTGATGCTGTTGTAGAGAACTGATCTATTAAAAACACACACACAAACCCAACCTCCAGAGAATATTTCTCTATAGTCTCCTCTGCTGTTCCCTTCTAGTACTCAAGTCATCTTCCTATCAAAGATACTTTCTGGAGGGTAAATTAAATCTCATACTGTATTTAGGTTTCTTGTTCCCTGTTCCTCCTTAGTGTCAAGATGCTGCCTATCATTTTGTTTGTACACCACTTTGGGGTTTCATTTACCAAAGGCTGTCACATTTGAAGTAGAAAATAACAAAAATCACTTCTAAAAAAATTTTAAAACAAAACTATCACCTTTTCACTTTGTCTTTTCTAGAATAAATTTCTATAGTCCTCCTAGATACACTACCACACACACAGAGAGAAACACACATACACCTCACTATATACAGTGTTGAGAAGGCAAACAATAGATGTCAGTAATTTTTCTTTGTACTTACTTTTTTGACTTTCAACTCTGGTATTTAAGTTTGAATGAAAATCTGGTGAATGTGTCACTGTGTACCAGAGACATACTGCACAAAACACTTTATTTTCTTAGAAATATGTACACCATTATTTTTTTTCACAACACAAACATTTTTTATTTTGGAAGTATAGTTTGACTAATAATGTATGAAAACATTGTACAGTACACCAAGACATCCATATTATACATCTTGATTAAATCTAAAGAACACTGATTAAAAATAGCTTAAAGATTTTATTACTTGAAACGTTAAGACTAAGTGGAAATGTGTGTATATATATCTATATCTATCTATCTATCTATCTATCTATGCTTTACCCACGTATCTGCACTTCCTCTTAACATCTGTCTGTCCTTTAAAAAGGATCACTATCCAGTCATCCACCCAAGCTTCAGTAAGTGTTGGCAATCCACCTTCCTAAATGATTCTGGAATTGATCTGTTTGAGTCCTCTATTTTGCAAGTCTGTTTCTTCACAAGTCTGGCATGTAAGACTTAAACTGTTTTTCCAAAGTTTTCTCTTCTTCAGTCAGTGGTGACAACTCTAGGTCTGTTAGCTTTTGTAGTTCTTATATCATGATCATAGTCTTTTTCAAAGTAACACAAATCCGGCCCTTAGTCTCTTTCTGTTCATCAGCAAGTGGTTTAAAGTGTGCATGCAAAGTCTGATAGCGAGACTTTATTGCTGACAATTCCTTCAAGAGTGTAACTGGATTTTTCTTGCCAGCTGAATCAGGATGATTGTTCTTAATTTCATATTCCAGCCTGTATAGAATGCAATCCAGATCAGAGTCAGCTTTCTGGAACATTAGTTCCAGTTTATCGACCTCTGCCTCCATGTTGAATAATTGACCGTACACCATTACTTTTAACAAAATGAAGTGGAAACCATAAATCATTGTAAAGTGATTTTCTATTTCCTAACAATTGTTGTTGTTGTTGTTGTTGAATAGTGTCAAGTTGGAACCTACACATGGCCGACCTCCAGCAGGTTTTCAGACACTGTAAATCGGACAGGAGGAGATTCCCCATCTTTTCCCCACAGAACAGCCGATGGGTTCAAACTCTGTGCCTCTGAGTTGACAGCATAACTCCTTACCATTAGGACACCAATCATTCAGGGAAAGCATCTCCCATCTTCTCAAATAGGTTAATAGTCACAAGAGGAACGGGTGGAAATAAGCTCTGTGTCTTTTAACTGTCTTAAAGACATGTGAAAAAAAGTTGTACTTGAGGTTCTTAAATATTTCTTAAGTTCAAGCTTATTCTGAAACAAATATTATTTTAGAATGTACCTCACTGGAGTTTGGATTCTGAAGTACCTCTTCTTGAAAATGAAAGCCTCTCACCTGGAAGAAATAGTGCATCAGGTGGTAAGAAATACTTGATGTGTATGTTTTTACAGGAATAATCACTAGTATTAAAAGGGATTTTGTTTGGATAGAACCAGTTCATATGTAACTATTAATTGTTATTTTTTATATATATTCTTTCAGGCAAAATTAACAAGGTAAGGATAAATTTTTAAGTTTTAAAAAAATTCATAGAAAAGATTATTTTTATGTTATTTGTATGATTTTTATATAGGTTAAAATGTAAACTTTCTTTAAAATTATTTATAACAAGTTTGAGAATTTACTATTTTATGGGTTACAGATTGGCTACTACATTAATATTTTCACTTTTTCATATGACAATACTATAGCTTGCAATTACTATTATAGTGAATATAGTGTTTTCTAGTCCCTAAGATTCTTGATTCCCTTTGCTCTGGCTTCTTGGCACTCTAGTGCCATATTCAGAGTCTCAGCTGACATGCATCTTGGTCTTTTCTTCCTCTTCTGTCTTTATAATGACTTTTTGTATTCTTCATAAATTATATTCTTGATATTCTCCCATATCTTATCTACTCTTCACTTATTGGTGTTCATGGCCTCAAACCTATTCCTGAGATGGTTTTGAAATTTGAGTGGGATAGACTCAAAATCAAATTTTCGTCCCTGTGGATTTAATTTTCTTTAACTTCAGCTTAAACTTTCATATGAGTAGTTGGTAGTTTGTTCCACAATCAGCATGTGGTCTAGTTTTCACAGCTGACATTGAGCTTCTCCAGTGATCATTCCCAGAAGATTTCAAAGGGCAGCATGAGAAGACAAAATATTGTAATGAAATGTGTAAAGAGCTGGAGTCAGAAAATCAAAGGGGCCGAACTTACTCAGCATTTCTTAAGCTGAAGGAACTAAAGATCAAATTCAAGTCTCGAGTTGCAATAATTAAGGATACTTTGTGCAGAATATTAAATAATCCATGAAGTATTAAAAGAAGATGGAATGATTATACAGAGTCACTGTACCAAAAGGAATTGGCTGACACAGAAGAATTTCATGAAACAATGTATGAGCAAGTCTGTGGTGATGAAGGAAGGAGTTCAAGCTGCTCTGAAAGAATTGGCAGAAAATAAGGCCCCCAAAATTGATGGCATACCGAGTGACATATTTCAACAAACAGACTCTGCCCTGGATGTGGTCACCAAGATGTGCAAGAAATCTGGAGGACAACCACCTGGCCAGCTGACTGGAGGAGATCTGCATATGTTCCCATTCCAAAGAAAGGTGACCCGACAGAGTGTGTAAATTATTGAAAAATATCACTGCTATCACATGAAAGCAAAAAATTATAAAAAGAAAATTATCCAAAAAGCCTAGAACAGCACATCCACAAAGAACTGCTGGATGTACAGGCTGAGTTTAGAAGAGGCTATGTAAAAGGGATATTGTAACTAATGTCAGATGGATCTTGGCTGAAAGCAGAGGAATGACTATCTGTGTTTCATTGAATATGTAAAGGTATTTGACTGTGTGGATCACAACAAACTGTGGCTAATTCTGAGAAAAATTGGAATCCCAGAACACTTGATTGTGCTTATGCAAAACCTATACTTGGCCCAGGAGGCAGTTGTCAGAACAGAGCAAAGAAACACTGCATGGTATAAAATTGGGAAGGGTGTACGCCAGGGATGTGTCCTATCTCCATACCTTTCATCTATATGCAAGAACAGATCATCCCGGGGGCTGGATTGAAATCAGGATTGGCGGAAGACTCATCAACAATCTGCATTATGCAGATGACACAATCCTGCTTGCTGAAACTGAGGGGGACCTGAAGTGCTTGCTGCAGAAGGTGAAGGACTGCAGCCTTCAATATGGATTGAATCTGAACATCAAGAAAATAAATATTCTCACCACTAGGTCAATGGGCAGCATCATGATAAATAGTGAAGAAATTGAGATTGTTAATAGCTTCAGTTTGCTTGGCTCTACAAACAACACTCTTGGTAACAGCAGCCAGGAAATCAAGAGACGAATTGCATTTGGAAAGTCTGCTGACAGAGACCTCTCCAAACTACTGACGAGCAATGATGTGTGCCTGATTCTTGCTATGCATCAGAAAGCTGGACAATGACTAGGGATAGTAAAAGAGAATTGATGCCTTTCAGCTGTGATGCTGGAGAGTATTGAATAAACCATGGACTTCTAGGTCCAGGGTGAAACCAGGCTGTTCCTTGGAAATAAGGATTCTGAAGCTTTATCTGACATACTTTGGGCATGTTGCAAGGAGGGCCAGTGATTAGAAAGGGCCATCATGCTTGTAAGAGTGGAAGGACGGTACAGGAGAGGAAGACCCTTGAGGAGATAGATTGATGCAGTGACTGAGGTAATGGGATTAGGTGTGTCAGAGACAGGAAGGTTGGCACAGGATAGAGCAGGGTTCAAAGCTGTTGTACATAGCATTGCTATGAGGGCAAGTGACTCGACAGCACATAGCAACAACAACAACAACACAGTCTTTAAGGTATCTTAAAGCAGTTGAAATCAGATCAATTACTTGTTAATAAATTATTATCAAATTACTATTTTCATTTACCTTTTTGATCAAAATATATTTAGTAAAAGACAGTTTTAGTGATAGTTGTGACTTATTCGTTAACACTAGCTATAAACACAACTCAGTTTCATTTGTATTAATTCCTCCTGAAATAAGTGACAAGCAAATAATTTATGTATGTATAAAAGCAAGTATCTACAGACTATACTATATATTCTTTGGTTAGACTATAATTAAGGAACAGAATTGTAGTGTGGGTTTAAAAGTCGTCTGCTGCTCCTTTATAGAACTGTTCAGAAGTTCCACTGAATAAACTGATGCTAGAACTTAGTCAGAGCATGATCATAAAACAATACAGGTAGGATTTCATTGATAATGTCCTTAATGAATCTTTCAAAAAGATTTATACAGTTAGTAAAATGATAATCATATTTCTTTATATCCTCAGAATAGTAAACAAGGAATATTTCAGTTATGGAGTTATCCTCTTAGTGAAGGAAGTACCATGGAGAGCAGGTAAGAGAATATTTGTTCTTATACACCACAAATTTTATATAT